CGGCACGCTGACAAACCAGCATATGTTCTCTTGCTGTTTCAGCACCGTTTCATGGCACTTGGTGCACATGTAGCTCTCGACGGTCTGATACTGAAAGTTGTCTCGCACAAGGTTATCGGTCGGCCGCCGCGCGTCGATTTCTTCCTTCATGGTGTCTAGCAGGCGCAGCAAGAACTCGTTGGCGTCCTGCATCTCGATGCCTCGGAACGCCGGATCGATGTCGGCGAACACGTCGCGAAGGTCGTTGAGATGGCTGGAGACTGATCTGCTGAGCCCCTTCTGACGGAGCACCATCAACTCCGCGACACCATGCAGTGTGCGGCAGAGGCTGTTCTCCCCTGGGCTCAGGTCGGAAATCAGCGACAGCATGTCGCTCAGGAACGGAGTCAGGCCCAGCAGAGGTTGAAGCGTGGCGTTTTGATAGCACGAGTTGCCGTAGTTCGGCAGACCAATGCAGAGCGGGTCGCTGGCGCTCGTGTCCGACTCAAGCCACCGGGTAGCCGTGATCAGCTGCGAGCCGGTGCTTTCCGTCTGCGTCCTCCTGCAGGGTGACTGTGGCGTCTGGCTGCTCTCGCCAGGGCCGTCGGTTGGCGGCTTTCTGTCAGACCGCTGTAGCGCCTGCCCACACTCGTCAGCGGTGTCAGTCTGCGGCTTCCTGCCCTGCGGCAGCACCTGACTGCCCTCATCGAACTTGCCAGGCAGCAGTGGCGGACACACATGCTGGGTGATCTTGAAAGAAGAGCTACCGGCTTCGCTAGACTCCTCTTCACCTCGACGAAACGCGATGCTCATCTGCCGAGACGAAGATGTATCGCTCTCGCGCGCCGGCCGATGTACAGAGCGCCACCGTGACAGAGATCGAACCGCAGGCCCTAGCACGAGCGGACCGCCATTCTGCGCCGTTACGACTCCGATAGCTGCACTAGACTTGTTCTTCTCCGCTTCTTTGCCTGCCATATCTATTGGTGTCTTCGGCGAGGAATCGGAAAAGTCCGTTGTCTGCAAGAAGCTAGCAGCATTGCCCCTAACGATGGCAAGGGCCAGCCGCTGCCACAGCCAAGCTGTCTCTTGATGATCCCCTGATATGGAGGCCATCCTTGCCCCGAGATCTCGAATGAATATTTTTGTGGAAGGTCCACAGCCACACACTCCTGTTGTTTCAAAGGCAATTGGTTCGAAGTGGAAGCGCTGTGCAAGGCCACTGTATTTCTTGCACTTTCTGTCCTCTGCTTCACGGGCCGCTGATCCGGGGGAAACAGCTGCTGATAGAACGTGGCTCTCAGCAAACGTGTTCACGCAAGTAGCGTCCCAAGCTAGACACATGCCCCTGGTGAATGGAAAGACTGTTATGCCGTCTGGGCGTTTGCTGTCTCCGCGGTCTACACCTGTTGGCTCCAAGAGAGAGGGGATTCTTGCCGACAACAATGCCCGCCTGATAATGTCGTTCAGCGCGGTATGTCTTGGATGTCTCCCAGCGCTGAACTTACAGGTGAGTGCGTGATAGCCGTTGCTGTCAGCCATTGAACCGCACCTACAGCGATGTGGGCGGCACACCTCGGCTCCCAGATGAAGGGCGATAGCGACTCGCAGGGTTTCCGGATCCAAAAGCGTGCCGATGGTTGCTGCAGGTACAGCATGCAGCCATGCCCCGCTGTCTGGAGCACAGGCACTCAGGAGCCTGGCGCGAACAAACTGGTTGGATTGTGAAAGCAGCGACTCTTGTTGTTTCTTGGCAAGCACTGTATCCCAGGTCTTTTGTTTTCGCGCTTCTTCTCCTTCGGGAGCACGTTCGCCCTCGGCTGCGTCTTCCCAGTCGGCAACAGCTTTTTCGCGCTCAGCTGTGGCGCTTGAGGTCATTGCAGAAGGCAGACAGGAAGATATGACCTGAAGGCACAAGTGGAGCGAAGCAACGTAGCTCGGTAGAGCGACGTCTACAAGCCGCCGGAGCCCGAGACCGCCGTACCTGGTTGGGAGAACGGCCTGCTGCCAGCTGGTTCCTGTCAGCCTGACGTTGCTGATACTGATCAGCGCTGATTGCAGGACTGCGTCCAGATTCTCAAGGAGCAAGGCTTACCGATAGAGAGGGGCGGCTCGCAGAAGATACTGCAGTTTGGGAAGCCATAGGCAGTTGCGAAGGAGAAAGATGGATGTGTGCGCGTCCAGGTGACGTAAACACTCAATCATGTGACTGAGTTCTCCCTGCTTTTCTGTCATGACCGCCTCGGTGGCAGCTTCGCTGATAGGCGCCCGAGAATGGTCTGCCCTTGTTCGCCGGTCACAGCTGCTCCTGGGATAAGCTGACGCAGCCTTGAGACAGAAACCTTCCTCCGCTCGTCTGTGATGTCGGCTGGTAAAATGATCTCACATTTGCTGGGATTGATTGGGAGACCAACATTGGCCATAGCTGGAATCAGCTCATTCAAGTCCGAGCATATGGCACTGACGCTACCGCCAATGGTTCCATCGTCCAGGTACCAGCAGTTGAACGGTGCTTTCACTGCCTTGACAACTTCATCGATGGCGAGTGAAAACACGGCTGGCCCGCACGGGTCACCTTGTTGGAGTCCAGTGGCGGAGGTGATGATGGCTGTCCCGTAGAACAGAGGCGAAGGTTCTCTGTATGCCTGCCATAGAAGGTGGTGCATAGTTGGTCATTGGTGCGTGCTCTCGAGCTTGACGAAGAAAAAGGTCCCTTCGAACGCTGTTAAAGGCGTTACGCATGTCTAGCTTGATGATGGCACAATCCTCTTTAAGGCTGTCATTGAAAAGGCGCGTTGAATGCACCGCAGCCTCACATCCACCTGTGGTTCCGTAGCCGAGCTGTGCTGGTCGCAGGTAAGCGCCCAACTCGGCACCGAGTGGTTTCAGAGCCAGTTTGGTAGCCAATCGTCGGTAAGTGTTTCCGACAGCGATCGGTCTTACACCGCCATCTGGTTTGCGCAGAGCTGTTAGCGCTCCTCCAAAGAAGGCAGAGCGTGCGAATGTTGCAACGCCGCCTGTGAGGACCAGGTTCATAAAGGCCGTGAGAGCAGCAATGAGTCGGGTGCCGGCCTCTCCGGCGGCCCGACTTGTCATATCTTTGAGGTGAGCAGGACGCAGGCCGTCTAGACCTGCGCTGCACCCGTTGTCAAATGAGGCGATGGATGCTTCAACCTCGGCCTTGGTGACCTGGTAGGGCTGTGTTGCATCATCGGGGCCAGGTGGCCATGCCAGATCGTCTGGAGCGGACGGATGTTTGAGCCGCAAGCTGTCGATGATGTCCTGCGAGTTCTGGGCGATTTCGTCCTTGGATGCTAGTAGTCGAATAGCCCCTCGCACGTCTCCGTCTTCTAAGTTCGCGGCCACGCTTCGCTGTAAACGCTCGCTTTTCTCAGTTTTGGAGCGGTTCCTGCTGTGCGATGGCTTTAGAGAGCTTGCGCGATTTGTTCGGTGGGCGTCATGTTCAGTGGAAGCTGAATCTATGTAACTGCCCAGCTGTCGTCTTATTCTGGAGGTGAGTGATGGGCCGCGGGCCGCTGGGGAGGTCTTCTTGATGCTCAGGCGAATGAAGCGCAAGATATGGAAACAGAAGCAGTCGCTCCCAAGCCGTGTTTGTGTTCTGTTTAACCACGGCTTCAAGAAAAGAGGTGCATGCTTCGGCTGCGGTTATCCTGGCACCTTTAGGATTCGTCTAATAACTCGGCGAGTCTGTCTGAGTTGGGCTAGATGGAGAGCCAGTTCGTTGCTATCTGGTGACTGGTCAGCTGTTGGGGTGACTGAGGTGGTATGACACTTCGCCTCGCTAGCAGGTGTCGTCCCACTGATCCCGGTACACCTCGGGCACCACCAACACGACAGTGCGTCGGCCTCCCTCCGTTTCAGGCGCGCACACGTCAGGTGCCAGGCCTGGCCACAGGAACTGCATAGGATGTGCCGCTTTCTCTTGTAAGCAATACTGCAGAGTTGGCATGTTACGTCTTGAGACTGCTCAGTTGTATCATCGAGCGTGCCGTCCATGTCGGTTAAGAAAAAAGTCTTGTGGGCACACCAACTATTTTGACTGCATTGTGAAACACAACAGATTCTGGTTTAATATAAAGGGTGAATGTGTTCCTTTGATCATTGTTATTTTAGTCATTATTCCTTTTTTCTTATGGTAGTACGTCCCGAGAAGAATTCCCTTAATGTATTCTTCATAAATGTAGTTTAGCAGCAGCACTAAAAAATGCTTCAACTGAGAGAGTTTGGCTCAAAACGTCACGTTTTATGAGAGAGAAAAAAGTGATGGCAGATTTTACAGTTTATGTCCGGCACGGAGACAAAATAGACGCAAAATATGTTTTCCTGAAAAACGTACCTTAGAATAGAAGTGCACTTATCTTGAAAACACTTCACTTGCCTTGCATGAAAACATGCTCTAAATGATCAGCGAAGATTACTCGATGTAAAGCACCAAGAGGTAATACGATACAATGACGAAAGAAATGATTTCCGGACGATCGAAACGGGAGCCTCCGGTGAGTCAACCGTTCGGCTCTGCGCAGGCGCAGAGACTCCAGGCGCATTGTCTTATATATGTGTTCTCTCTTTCTTTTTCAATGGAGGTGTATTTGCATTTAGGCACATTCTCATAATATGTGCACGCGATATATCAACAGATATGAAACTGTGCTTGCTAGCTTTGTTCTTGTGTGTTCGTATTGTTTTATCGATATTCGGGCGTTGAAAAAGTCTCTGACGAAACGCGTCCACCCATGTGCTGTATGTTTTTTCTACTCAATATATACACTTCTGACATATGACGTCATCCGTAAGCCTCTGCACGGTCCAAAGATATTGTAACTTTGCAGTGCTCTCAGTGACAGACAGACAGAGAGACAGAGAGGCAGAGCAGTGCCGCCTCCATTACGTGCGCCCCGAATCTTATGTTTCCGCTTCCAATGTAAACAGCAATTGTCAGTTAACCAAGTGGTAGGGCGGCAGCGGCGCGCGGGGCGGTCGGGCCGGAGCGGCGGGCAGTTGGCCCGCGCCGGCCGCCACAGCCGCACCGGCCATGGCAGCTGCTGGCAGCGCCGGGGCCGCCGCCGGGGCCGCCGCCGGGCTCCGACCGGCCGGCGGCCTCCGACAGTCCGGCGTGCTCGCCTCCTGCTTCTGCGTGAGTCTGGCGCTGGGCAGCTGCTTCAGTATCGGCAACCTCACCACCTACGTGACGTCGTACCTGCGCGCGGGCGCGGCGCTGCCCGTCGACTACGCCGACACCATGTGGCTCGACTCTGTGCTGCGGGTAACCATGGGGCCGCTGTACGCGCTGGGTGGCCTGCTGCACGCCCGGCTCGGGCCGCGACCGGCCACGGCGCTGGGCGGCGGCCTGGTGCTGCTCGGTACGGCGCTCTCCACACTGGCCGTGCGCGGCCCGCTGATCGGCCTCATCGCCGCCTACAGCCTGCTGCAGGGCGCCGGCATCGGCATCGCCCTGGCCAGCGTCAGCCTGACCTGCGTGGCCTGGTTTCCGCGCCGCTGCGGACTGGCGCTGGGGGTCAACATGGGCGGCTTCACGCTCGGTCCGGTGCTGTTCAACTGGGTGCAGACGGGCTACATCAACCGGACGGGCGCCGAGCCGGCCGCCGGCGGCTACTTCTGGCAGCCGGAGCTGCTGCGCCGCGTGCCGGCGGCGTTCCTGCTGCAGGCGCTGGTGCAGGCCGGCCTGCTGACGCCAGCGCTGCTGCTGCTCCGCGCGGCGCCCGCACACGGCGGACAGCCGCACAAGGCCGGTCTCTCCGTGCGGCAGGCGCTGCGCACGCGCCGCTTCTACCAGCTGCTGCTCGGCTACGTGCCAACCATGGTGGCCTTCGAGTTCTTCCAAGTGACGTGGAAGACGTTCGGTCAGACGTTCATCAGCGACGACCGGCTGCTGAGCACGGTCGGCTCCGTGTCGCCGCTGTTCGCGCTGGCCGGTAACTTGCTCTGGGGCCAGCTGGGGGACGCCACGTCGTTCCGCTCTGCGCTGGTGGTGGCCAGCGGTCTGCTGACCAGTCTTCTGTGCACGGTGCCGGCGGCGCCGCGGCTGGGCGCCGCCGCCTACTGCGCCTGGGTGTGGGCGCTGGCGGCCAGCTGCGCGGCCCTCTTTGCCTGCCAGCTGCCGCTCCTCAGGGGAGAGTTCGGCGACCACAACGCCGGCGTGCTGCTGGGCCTGATGAATACGGCGCGCGCCCTCTTCACGCCGGTGACTCCGCTGCTGGCGCGTCTGCTGCTGCTGCGCCGCGACGGCTACCCCGTGCTGTTCCTGGTTCAGGGCGGCTTCGCGCTGGTCGCCATGTGCAGCCTTATCTCGGTGACGACTGCCAGTGACGCGGCGGCGGCGCGGCGCGCAGAGGCCAAGCAGGCGGAGGCGGCGGCACGGCCGTGACCGGACGGCGCGCCAGACTGGAAGCAGGAAGCGGCTCAGACTGGGGGGGGGGGGGGGTGCGCCGGCGCCCGGCCTGATGATCCCTACTGGAGGGACCACCCGCCCGTCGATAGGGGGCTACTGAGCAGCCAACCCTCCAACTGGGACGGCGTCTCGCGAAAGTGTCACAATGCAGTGCCAGTAAGCAGCCAAATAAATCAGAGAGCACACACGAAACCTATTTTAAGGGGCTTGGTGATAGGGCTCCGTGGCAGATACAGTGGTCATGTGAGTTTGTCATTGCGTTCGGTTCAAACACAGAGCAGGCAGGCATAACTTAAGCATGACAACTATTTGGTCATGCAATATCTTGGTATAGGGTGAAAGGGGCCTCAAACACAAAGTTTTTTTTGGGGGGGGCGTGGACAAGCCATGTAATAAACGGGTGTTTTAAGTTTTAACAGTCAAAGTGTATGCCATGGGGATCCTATGTGCGTGAGTTTTCGACGTCAATGTTTTCATGAGTTGTTCTGTGCAATGTTTCGATCAATTCTGCGCAAAGAGAAATGAGATGGGACGGATCATTAACCCGCGCCCCATTGGGGTCTGCGTATAACACGCCCTTCTGGGGGGGGGGGGTGCTTTTCATAGCCTCCCTCTTAACTCCGAAACTACTGGGCCGATCGTAAAAATTCAAACGGCGTTTGATAGCCCCGGAAAAACTGTCGAACGAAACCTAATTTCATTGACCTCGAGGTCACCGATGACGTCACAGGTCAGTTCAAAGTAAAAATGATTAGCATTTAGGGTTGTTCACATTTGGAGTTCTGACCACCATCTTACAAGTCAGATCAGGCTCATTTTTGGTTTTCACACTCGTGAACAGATGCTTTAGATACCCTGAGGGTACCAAACTTGTGCAAACTTGGACCCCCTCTTAGCCATTTGGCCCCTGATCAAGCTAGAGCTTCGCGGAAAAAAACGGGCGTGTTGCCTGTGACGGAACGAAGCCGATGATACCCAGTTTTAACCCTCGCCGGCACAGGGGGGTTGATGCAACCCCTCTAAGGTTTTTCGCAAATAACTCGCGTAATAAGCGGCCGATCGCAACGAAACTTTCCGTACCCTAGCATTGATCAATTTTACACCTACCCCCTGAAAATTTCATGACCCTGACCCAAATTTGACCTGTGACCTCTTTTCCGAGACCATGTTTGGCCGGAATCGCGATTCGGCGTATGTCGGCTCGCATTAGCCGCCCGTTTGCAAGCTTTTCGTGGTTTCAAACGTTCAAACATGTGACTTGATGTTGCTCCCATGCATTAGGTTGGGTGTCAAGGTCACCTGAAGGTCAGGTCAGGTCATTGACCTTTGGTGACCTCGGTTCACTTTTTCGAGTTTTACATGTTTCTAGGCTAGTTTTTGGAGCTGATTTTAAATTTAGCAACCATTTGAACACTTATTAATAGTTTTGGTGCCTTCGTAACATGTTACGAAGCTGTCAGAGGCGGTTGACACGTATTACGAATGCCCGTCACGACCCCTGACCTGACCTGACCTTACCCGACCTGGTCTAAATGCTTAAAGACATCATCTCTGATCAAAACTAACACGATATTCGTGATCAGCACCCCGGAAAACTCCATAGCAGCCACGCTTTACGACTTTCTAGCAGGTCCCGTTTTTCCCGATTTTCGGGTCATTGACCTGACCTGGAAGGTCACCCGATGACCTAGGACCTTAAAATTGGATATCATCGGCTTCCTCTCGTGACGGGCAACACGCTCGTTTTTTTCGCGAAGCTCTTGCTCGATCAGGGGCCAAACGCGAGGGGTGTCGTACCAACCCTTGTGCCGTCGAAGGACGCAAAATGGCCTGTGCCGGCGAGGGTTAAGGTCCTAGGTCATTGCTTGACCTTCTAGGTAAGGTCAATGACTCAAAAAACGGGAAAATCGGGACCTGTTAGAACGTGGGAAAGTGTGACTACTAAGGGTTTTTTTGGGGTGCTGATCGCGAATATTATGTTAGTTTTAATCACAGATGATGTCTTCATGCGTTTAGGCCAGGTTAGGCCATGTCAGGTCAAGTCAGCGAGTAGGGGTCCTGCCGGGTATTAGACTATTAGTAGTATTGTTTATTTATTTCTCCAAAAACAACCACAGGCCAATGCCCAGTTACGGCTGCAGTCAAAGTTCCACACAAACACCACACACGCAAACACAAAAAACACCCACACAAACACACACCCACACGCGGACATCCGTGTGTGTACTAAAGTCTAGATAAAATATAGGTATAAATAATTACATGAGGATATGATAGTAAAAGTGCAAAAGCACATAAACATGGGCATGATAAAAAATGATAGAAACCCATGTTAAGGGATGCGCTTGAAAAGCAACAAAAAAATGTTACCATCCACCGGATATCCAGCTGAAATGGCAAAGTTATCAAGAATAAACGCAAGTAAAGTCTAAAAAAGAGCCTAAAAACGAGCACGAGGCTGATGGGAAAACACAAAATGTGACATAAAAGTTGCACAAAAAACAGCAAATCGCCATCGAGCTGGCAAATGCTCACAAAAAGGTACCCTGACTTCCCGCAAACCGAACTATATCCGATCTTAAGGACCGGGATGGTTGAAATAAGTCAGTATGGGGACTGCTCTGCACGAGAGAGTTGAGCAGCTGAGGTACTCGCACCAAAAAGCCTCTCCTCACCGTCCACCGAGTCTACTCTGCCACTTCTAAGAGGTACGTGAAACAGCTCAGGGCGTCGCGTGCGTCGGCCTGGTACAGACAACGGGAACATTCCCACGATGTCGGCACAGTCTACTTGGCCGCTCAGTGCTGAACGCGCGAACATCAGATCAGACTGAGTCAGACGGGCCTTGATAGATGCGCAACCGAACGTGTTTAACAGTGACTGGTAGTCGAGCGGCGGACATGAAGACCGAGTTATGGCACCCAGCCACAGCAAAAATCGGTGCTGAAGGCGCTCGAATCTACGCAGGTGAGGGTCGAATTTTACTCTGTGTGTGCGATTAGACACCTGCATGCTCCGCATGAGCAGCCCCAACATACGATTGGCCTTTGCGACGGTAGCATCTACGTGGTCAGCGAATGTGAGCTTAATATCTAGGATGACACCAAGGTCACGCACATGTGGACATCGCTCCAGCTGGTGACCGTCCAGTGAGTACGAAGCGAGATGAGGTGATCTGCGAAGGGTGAATGAGATTGATTTGCACTTGACTGGGTTGAGCTTAAAAAACCAGATTTTAGACCAAGAACTAAGGCGATTCAAGTCGGCCTGCAGTGAATGTGTGTCCTCTATAGTGTCGATCCGGTGAAAAATTTTGACGTCGTCCGCGTACGATAGCGACGAAGTTTTGATGTGGTTCGGGAGGTCAGCTACGTAGCAAGTAAAAAACAATGGACCCAAAATGCTGCCTTCCGGCACTCCAGACTGTACTGGGATCCATTCGGAGTGTTTCCATTCAAGGACAACTCTTTGGGACCGCTGGTTCAGGTAAGAGTCAACCCAGTCAAGCGCAACTCCTGAGATATTAAAAGAGTGTTCTAGTTTGTGTAAAAGAAGCCTGTGGCTGACACTAGTAAAAACAGAGAAGTAGTTGGTGTAGATGGCGTCCGTTTGCGATCCCTCTGACAAGGATTTCCAGCAATGATCCAGAAAGCATACTAAGTTGGTGACACATGAACGGTTTGGGAGGAAAGCCGTGCTGGGAGGGAGGCAGTGCAGGATGGCAAGCTTGGAGCAGGCCCTCGCAAACCACCTTCTCCAGAATTTTTGAGCAAATTGCTAAAAGCGAAACTGGTCTATAGTTTTCAGGAAGCTTTTTAGAGCCCTTTTTGAATACGGGGATGACGGTGGCCCGCTTCCAAGCTGACGGGAACACCCCAGAGTGCACCGATAGCCGACAGATGATGTCCAGAGGGATCGCAAACTCCTCCGCGCACTCGTGTAAAATCCGGGCGCTGAGACCATCAGGGCCGCAGGCCTTGTGAGGGCTCAGCTCACGCAGGAGCTGGGCCACACGACCAGGAGGAACACCGAAACGAGACAGACCCGGGGCGTTAAGATTGGGGGCGTCTGGCAAAGCATCGGTAAAAGGAACACTGAACTTTCTAGCAAAACACTCGTTAAAACAGTTTGCCCTCGACATCACGTCTCTAACTATCCTCCCGTTGATCTCTAACATAGGAGATGTGTGACTGCCGGACTTGAGGGACTTAACAAAAGACCAGTAGCGCTTTGGATTCTCCCTGAACTTCCCTACTAGTCCCAGTAAGTAGTCACTATAGCTATCGTTGGCCGCCCTTTTGAATTCTGAACGCACCCTCGCATGCTCCTCGATGTTCGCAGCGGAGGGATCAGCTTTTTTGCGTCTAAAAGCTAGCTCTTTCTCGCGCAGGAGATCACGAACAGGGCGGCCAAACCACGGGGGGAACTTGCGACGAAGCTCAATCATCGGGACATAGTCGTTGATGGCGGCAAAAACAATGTCATAAAAATAATCGACTGCGCTGTTCACGTCCATTCGCTCCATGACAGTCCAGGGCACCAAGCGCAACGCCTGACGCAAGGCGCCGAAGTCGGCCCGCTTGTAGTTATACACAATCGTGCGCGAAGCACGAGGGGCCGTGTCATATTGCATCTTTAGCTCAGTAATGATTACCAGATGGTCAGAAGCAAATAGACTGTCGCGTACCTCCGACGTCGCAGCGCCACCACAGGACACCGCCAGGTCAAGAATGTTGTCTCCTCGCGTCGCCGTCGTCACCGACTGCACCGCGCTGCATTCCGCCATAGCGTCGACGAAAGTGATCGCCCGCGCGGTCCGTCGCCGCAGCACAGCCTCTCCGTCTCCCGTCCAATGGATCTCAGGCAGGTTAAAGTCACCCACCATGAGGAACGGGCGGCCGGTGCGGTGGAGCCGGCGCACGGCTCGGCGATCTTCTCCGTCTCTCGGTCTGCGTCGGGGGCGCGGTAGCAGACGGCGAGGAAGGCGCAGCGAGTTGACCCCAGCTGGATGACCAGCGATTCGCAGTCCGTCTCAAGGTCAGGTCGATGAACGGGTGACAGTAGGTACCTCACGGCGCACGCCACTCCCCCACCTCTGCCGCTCTGTCCCTCCGAAACCACGAGAGTCCGTCGTGCCCAGCTGGAGCTCCGAGTCGGCTACATGCGGACCGAGCCACGTCTCGGTGA